GACCTTCATTAGGTCTCAGCCCCACACCCCGCTGCCTCAGAGATTTTCATCAGGCCTCAGCCCCACACCCCACTGCTTCAGAGATCTTCATCAGGCCTTAGCCCCCATCCCCCTGCCTCAGTTAGACCTTCATCAAGCCTCAGCTTCCAACGCTTTTCCCCAGAGGGGCTTTCTTGGACGCTCTGCACACCCGCTTACATCTATTTCATTGCTTTCTTCATAACTCTTATTATTATGTGGAATGAACCTATTTATCTGGAGTTCACTGCTTGACTCGCTCAACAGAACACGCACTCCAGGAGAGCAAGGGCTGTGTCTGTCTTCTTTAGGCTGGTTCCCTTGAGTCTGCAACAGTTCCCAATAAATATTTTGATGAATTTGAATGAAATGAATAAACACAGAAGCAATCTGCAGAGAATCCCAAAGGCACGAACCAGCTTCTCTCACCTACCATCAACACACTAACACTGAAGGAAGAGAAGGGGGAAGAGATCTGACCCTTCCCTTGCCGAGGACTAAGTTTTGAGGTTTTCTCACAGACACACCATACCCACATTTCATTTCCCTTGAGTTATTTTGTTCTTTTTTCTTCTAGAATCTTCAGTAATTTTTAACCCTGTGCATGTCTGTGCATAGGTATGAGCACACGGGCACAGCCGCATTCAAAGGCTGGAAGTGCTGCATCCCCTGGAGCTGGAGTGACAGGTGGTTGTGAGCACGATGTAGCTGCTGGGAATGAACTCAGGTCCTCTGCAAGAGCAGTGTATGCTCTTAGCCACTAAGCCATCTTTCCAGACTCTTCTGTTCATTTCTGATGGCCTTGGATGAGTAACTCAGACACGTTTAGAAGAGGAGAGCAGAAGGCAGCTTCAACACTGAGAGACATTCTTTCTTTCTGGAAAGGTACTCACTACCAAGCAACACCTCTCCAGAAACCCCACCTCGACAGAGACACTGACCATCCTCATCTGCTAAAATCTTCTTTCATAGGCAGTCTCAGAGACTACTTCAAACAAGTTGGGTTCTAACCAGAAAGAAAATTCTGTTTGTGTTTGCCCTGAACAGAGGAAACCCCCCAAATGCAGGGATACTTACTAATTTCTATAAAGAGTTCATTTATGTTTATTGCATTCTTTGCGCTGGTCTCTACAAAGATGGCATGAATGGAGTCGGCGTAGTCCTTCGCATCTCTCTCCATGACTTCTCTGGAAGGCAACAATTGCTAATCAGAGGTTCTGCCCTGAAGACCTTCCCTTCATTCCACCCCGTACAGAAGGACACCGGATCAGCTGAAACATGAGCCCAGACAGTCTTCCCAGCTACACAATTTTTGTGACAAGAGTTTCTCCAACCCCTGTATTAAACAAATAACCCTCCACCCCAAGCAAAGCAAAGCAAAACAAAACAAGGTCCTTGCTCTGGGAATCAGATGTGGTACATTGAAATTGTCAATAAAATGCACTTTTTGGATTCAGTTACTTTGTGTCATAGCAGCCTGAGAGGCAACAATCTCAGATAATGTCATGTGTGATACCACCAATGTTTGAGTAAATTACACGCCTGTCTACATGTAATATAATTAACTCCAAATGCCTTTAGTCTTCATTTTAGCTTGAAACTTCAGGGCCAACCACATAACACAAGACATTTTTCAATGTCAGAGATAAAATAAAAGCTAGACTCTTACCATGGATGTGGCTCATTAGAAAAAGCACAAGTAATCGGCATGGGAATCTCTTGTCTAATAACTCACCTGACATCGCTAAGATCGCATTTGTTCCCTGCAATGGCAACAACAATGCTAGGGGGGCCGTGCTGGCGGAGCTCTCTCACCCAGTTCTTCAACGTTGAAAATGTCTCCTGCAACACCAAAGGAGAGTAGCTAGAGGCCTGAACCACAGATGATAGCGTCTAAGAAGAAAGGAATACAGTCTTACTTCTTTTGTGATGTCATAGACGATGATGGCTGCCGCTGAGCCTCGATAGTACATCGGTGCCAAGGCACGGAACTGCAGAGGGAGAAGAAGCAATGAACCTGGGACGGCCAGTTAAGCATGTCCTCTTACAGACTCAAGTCCATTATCCCTGTACAAAAGGTAATCTTTCTCTGAAGCCACAGAAGATGACATAATGTTTCCCAGCAAATGAACCTGTAATTACTAAAGGCCGAGACTGATGGTAGTGCTGGAATATCCCAGAAGATGGTCTAGAAAACAGCTTTAGAGGAACTGAATATGGGACTATAAACAATTCTTTCAGCTAAGAAAGCTTTTTAATTGAACTCAACGTTGTAATTCCCAAATTCATTTGTTCAATAGTCCTTTAAACTTTGGCTTCCCAAACTAAGGAGATAAAAACACTGCTGTAGCCAGAGAGGTCAAGGACACGATGGGAAGGCTCACACAATCAACTCACCTGGGATCAGAGGGTTGGAAAAACTGAACTGACAGCCAGGGAGCCAGCATCAGACTGACCTAAGCACTCTGCATATATGTTACAATTTTATGTAGCTTGGTCCTCTTGTGGGACTCCTAACAGTAAGAACAGAGGCTGTCTCCGACTCTTTTACTGGCTTTTGAGATCCTATTCCTCATACTGGGTTGCCTTGTCAGCCTTAATACATGGGGAGGTGCTTAGTCTTACTGCAACTTGATATGTCATGTTTTATTGATATTCATGGGCAACTTGCCCTTTCCTGGATGGAGACAGAAGAGGACAGCATTGGGAGTTGGGAGGGGGTGGGGAGGAGGGTATAGGAGGGGAGGAAGTGGGGGAGGCTGCCACCCAGCTGTAAAATAAATAGATGAATTAAAAAACAAAACGAAACAAAAAAATAAATAAACCACTGCTGTAAACAGTTCTCCTAGACATGAATGCACATTTAAATTTACTACTTGCACGACTTTGCAACTTGCTTTTCTGACATCTGCATACATAGGTCTCATTTCACTTCCACAATGCCACACTATCAGTAGTTTTGCCTCTTCCCACCACATACTAGAGGGACTTGGAGAAAGGACTATCTTCAAAATGAGGGTAATTCAGCAGGCCATTTCCTTTGAGGAGTGTGGGACAGAAAATGTGAATCTCTTTCCTCACTCAAATCTGGGTGGTGAGCAAATGTTCCAGTGTGGCTTTCCCCCACCAAAGTGTCATGCCTTCATCTTATACCCTAACTTTGAAGCCTGGTCCCCAAGAGTGATGCAACATCCCTAAACTGTATCCTGTTCCCTTTGTGGTGGTTGGTTGGCAGGCACTATTCTGAGAGAACACTGGGTGTATATACAGAACATATACATGTGACTCTTGTATGTCTTTGAGTTCATGGTCATCCTTCTACCTCCATGAGGAAGATGTCATGACTGCTAGGGTCTGGCATGGATCTCATGCACTATAGGGTATCCAAGAGCTACAAACCAGCCAGTTTCAGTCCTTTCTGCTCAACAAACATTTAAAATGTTGGACTGACTTGCACAGTGTACGAAAATGAGACAGCAGCATGCAGGCAGAACTAGGATCATGGTCCTAGCTGCCTTCACTCTGGATGTACTTGTGATGGCAACATCCTTTAGAGGGTCATTTCTTTTTCTAGTTTTGTAAGGGAAATTCTCACCAAGAGAAGCTGATTGCAAGTCTACAATGTGTAAGCAGACAAACGTAAATCCCCATGTAAATGCTCATCACAAAGTCGAAGCATTTCTGTCAACAGAGACAATCCCCAAGATCCCTAACCTTGATAACACTTGCCCTCAAGTCCATCTGCAGATGGAACACAACCACAGTGTGGTCTTTCTCCTTTTTGCTTATAATCTGCATAGAAAATCCTTTTCCATCCTCTCATCTTCTCTTCTCTGAGCACAGTGTGCACATTTCTTTAAGCAGTACAGCTGAGGTCTGTCATATGGCAGTCCTGCCACCTCTGCCTGCTCTGAGGAGTGCTCGGTCCTCTTACATCTAAGAACATATGCTGTGTCTGGACACCAGTCTTGAGCTTTGTTGCAAATCTGTCCAAATTTAAAAAAATTCCCATTCATTCTTTCTTCCTCTCTCCACAGTGATTAAGTTTTAGTACCTGTGGTTGGCCTCGAATTCATGAAGTAGCCAAAGGTGACCCTAAACTGCTGATACTCCTGCCTTCTCTCCTGAGTGAAGGGATTATAGGCATGAGCCATCGCTTCTGGCTTCCTGGTGCTGGGGATCAGCTCTAGGCTTAGTGTGCCCAGCCCAGGCTCCTTCTCTTAGCTTTGAAGCCATACTTTCCTGCATTAGTTATTAGGTGGTTGTTCTTGCAACTACAATGTAAGTTTTTTCTAATCCACTTCTAATTTAAATGTATGCTTCCTATAAAACATCAGAATCTCACATGAATCTAACCTTGCCTATTCGAACCTTGCATGAATTTAACCTCATTTACTTCACCATTCTTTGGCTGCTGTTGCTAAATGCTTCAAATGCACACACTATTATTGAAGGAAATCACCAGGTGTCCAGAAGTTGAGAGAAGAAAAAAAATGATGCTCTTCGCCCTCCATCACCTGCACTGCTCACTCTTTCTTCTTCTTTTCTCTCTCTCTCTCTCTCTCTCTCTCTCTCTCTCTCTCTCTCTCTCTCTCTCTTTTTTTTTTTCAAGATAGGGTTTCTCTGTGTAGCTTTTGAATCTGTCCTGGAAGTCACTCTGTAGACCAGGCTGGCCTCCAACTCACAAGAGATCCACCTGCCCGTGCCTCCTGAGTACTGAGATTAAAGGTGTGCACCACCTGGCTCTTTTCTTTCTGTAGGAGGTGAGCAGCCACTTAGTGGCTGCTACTATTGAAACTCTCTGCTCTCACTCTTTCTAAGGCTACTTTGATTTCGTATCTGGAAAATGATCTTGGCAGACTGACTTGTTTGCACACCCACAGCATGCTAGAGATTCTGTCTATTGGCCTGCCCCCACTGCTTCTGTGAGAAGTCAACCTCTACTCCTACTGTTCTCTGGTATACAATTTATCTCTGGTTATTTGAGGGTTTTCTCTTTATCTTCACTCTTTGGCAGTTTGACTAGGGTCCTTGTACTTAAAGGTTTACCAAAGCCCTGAGATTTGAGAGTTGATGTTTCACTAAACACTGGAGGAATCTGGCCATCAATTACAGAAGCACTGTCTTTAACCTGCATCCCATTCCTTCTTCGTTCCTTCTGGATGCCAGCTCTACTTTCAGCTGACTGTGTCTCTAGACTGTTGAGACACTCCGACTTTTCTGGCTTTTCCTCCCCTGGTCCCCAAGTGAACCGTTCTACTGTCCACCCTGCCAACTTTGCTTCTTGACACTGTGGCTTTCAATCCTGGCATTTCCATCATAGTCTTCATGAACTTCCACTCTGCCTAAGCTTCCCATCTGTAGTCAGCCTGCCATTCTTTGAACCTTTGGAAATACTTAAAGACATATTTTCAACTCTGTGGCTGTAGATGCCCATCACAGGAGCATCTCTGTTCTCGTTTCTCCATACAACTAACAATTACAATGGCACACTGGCCATGTCTTCCACACTGCCATTTTGAAGAGCGGTAAGTAACTCTCATCATCTTCAGACTGATTTTGTGCACTGTTAGGATGGCTCTGTGTGGGTTGGATCTGAAATCCAGGACACTCTCTCTCCTCTGAATGAGATGCTTCATCAGGATGCTCAAGGAGTTAATCAATGCCCTCTAATGTGGCAGACTGGGTTTAAACTCCAGTGCTGCTATAAGAAGCACCAGTGAGTCTGCTCAGTCTTGTCATCCTGTTGATTTCTGTTGGGTTTTGCAATGTCCCCTCTACACATTCCCCCAGGCTTGAGGCTCCTCCTTTCTGGGATGTGTCTTTTCAGGGCTTGCCGCTCTTGCCTAGCCTAGCACTCTCAGACAACATCTTTCCAACACCATAATCTTAAAAAGACATTTTCTGCTTGATTCCTTGCTACTAGGTGCCACACCATTGGGAGCTAACTGGGCATGCCTGTGAGGCCTGGACCATGCCCGTGCTACGTTGCTTCCACCTTGGTCACTGGTTGTTTGGCAGCACTTTCAAAAAGCTACTTTGTAAAGTCTTATGCAACATTTATTTCTAAGCCAGGGTGGCCATTCTGGGTGACACTGGGGATGCTGCCCTTCACTTATGGTGTACTTATGATATGCATTCATGGTGGCCATCTGTGTACGTGCTGGGCTGTCTTGGCACACCTCAGGAGTCTTAGTGAAGGGTAAGTTGGAGAAACAGTGACAAAATAAACTCACTCAAATTGCAAACAGTGGACAAAGGACTCACAAATGCTCAGTCTTAAGAAATTTAATCAGGAAAACAAGTTTCATTTCATCTGGCATTTGAGAAAGCTCAGGCTTATTTTTACAGCCAGGAGCTGATTTTTCGAGAAGTCTGAGTCAGTGAGCAGACAGCCTGGCAGCCTGCTTCTGCTAGAATGTAGAGAGCACAACATGGGACCTTTCATTTCACAGTGGACTCTCATGGGCCTCACAGAAACAGCCACTTTGAAAAAACATCTGAGGGCTCCATTCTGTTTTCCTAGGCGCTTCTTAACCCTTTGATATACAAACCATTGTCTTCTCAGTACTTCTTCCTTTTTTTCTGTACGAGCTCCCCCAAGTCAAGGGCTCACATACCATTCAATTCTCACTTGCTTTCATCAACTTAGTGAAATCACTTGGTGATCACAGGAAACTTGTCAGAACTACATGTGGCAACAGATGTGAGGGTCAAGTGGGGAGGGCACGTGTTCAGTTCATCAAAAGGCTTTCATTCTGCAACGGTTTTGGGTCCCCACCATGAATCTCACCCTACAGAGAGCTAAGCAATAAACACATGAACCTCAGAAACTTATCACTGGAGTCATGCACTACTACAGCAGGCAGAGGGGATCTGTCCATATCTGTCAGGAGGCGGGCTACCAACCAGCCGACAGAAGAACTAACATCAATGCCACATGCCAAGGGCTAGAGTACACACCAAGGCAGTCCTTGCCTCTCAAAGAGGTCACAGTCTAAACGGAAGACAGAAAAGTAAGAAAATAGGTGACAATCCCATGGCTGAGGGCAACCAAAGACTGTTCAGGACACAGAGTTCATTTGCTGCCACCCAACTAAGCCCTGGGCATTAGTTTGCTTTTGGATACTGTGCCAGCACTGGAATACAGCTGTAAGCAAGACATTACAGGCCCAGCTCCTGACATTTATATCTTGATGGGAGAAGCTGTCAGTAAAGGTAGACAGACATTATGACTTGTATTGAGTGTCTTGAAAATGAATACTGATAATGATAGAGAATGACCCCGAGGTCCTGCTCAGGTACAGGGAAGTAGGGAAAACCCCAAGGAATGACATTTGGCTGGAGGCCAAAAGCTGGTAAGAAGCCTATGAGTGACAGAGGAGGTACCAGTGAGAAGAACCAGTACACTCCAAGGCCTGATGGTAGATATGCAAGGAGGCCAGCATGCATGGAGAAGAGTGGAGCAGGACAAATGGGCTGCATGGGTCCCTTAGAACACAGACAGAAGTGAGTAAGGGTGAGCAAGAAGACAGCAGAGTCTGATCAATGTTCCCCACAGTGTCTGGGTTCTCTGAGTAGTGACATGGGTCAGGACTGGGTGGAGGACAACAGGGAGAGCAGTCAAAAGGCTGCAGAACACTTGAGTGAATAGAGTGGAGAGCTGAAAAACTGAATGGCCAACAGAGCTGTCAGGAAGAATGCAAGACAACTTCCAGATGTGAGTGTAAGCAGCACAGCTTTATGGCAACAGGGGTGGTTAGGACAGCTACTCTTGGGTAACGGAGGTAGGCTTCAGTTATTGGGCCAAAGACGCGAAGACAGACAAAAAAATCTAGAGCTGTGTGGGACACTGGAGAAGCACACAAGTTTAATGCTCCAGAGCAGACTGGCAGGAAGAGGTGGAGTGGAGTCCAGCTACAGGTACCGTACAGGGCCGAGAAGATCTGGCCCTGGATAAATGGGCAAATCTTTGAATGAACTCTGAAATCTGGAGCCCTGGGCATGTCCTTCTGCACAAGGACAACTGGCCACACCCAGTATTCCTCTCCTGATTCTCTTCCTGCTGTAGGGTTTCCTGGTCAAGGGCCCTGTCCTTGGCCTGGCCTTTCAGCATCTCCTGCCCAGTTCTGGGCTGCAAGATGGCACTCCAGGCAAGGAAGGCCAGATTGCACAATTGAGCAGCACTCTCTGCCAAAGAACCAATTGGAAGTGGGTAAGTAAGAGGCAGGCAAAGCAGGCAGTCATAGTCCTCAGGCTCCTGTGACCACTTGAGTAGAGGGGAGGTTCATGCCTAGGCATTCATTACACTTTCATGGTATAAAAAAGTCACCATGATAATGGAGTTTGTATCACAGCATGGGAGAATCAAAACATATCTGAGGGGGTAACTGAAACCTGGGATCCAATAGAAGGCATGTCTATCACTACTACGTAGTGGTATTTGCTCCGCCCATGACCTTGAACTATGTGGCTCGAAGGGGGCGGTGCTTCTTGCCTGTGGAGGTGACCTCTTAATTGGAAAGTCAGAGAGGTCACACTCTCTTCTTGGCATGATGGGACAGCGGACAGCCAGGTGCATTCGGTTCTTGGGCAGAACAGAGGACAACTTCAGCAGTTTACTCAGTTCTGTATTTCATGAGTGTATTTCCCCAACTTATATCTTAATAAATTCCCTGACACCCCTTCCTTAAGCAGACTCCCGTGGATCTCTGCTAACAGCAGAGTCCCAGGGCAGTGTGTAGATACATCAGTAGGACTCAGGGAAGCAGTGCTTCTGTAGGGTGGAAGAGCGATGGTTGCAAAGGGTACCACTCTCCTAACTCCCCACTCTAGGTGCACACAGGCCACCAACACAGAGGGTGGCAGCTCTGGTAAATGAGACACAGCATTAACAACTAAAGGCAGCAAACAGCAGGGCTGAGGCATGGCCTCTGCTCCACCTGGGTCCCTAGTGCAATGTTCTTCCATTTGTCTGGGACAACTCTTGTCAGAGTCTATGCGGCACACAGTATCCACGTGGCTTTAGATAAGAGTGTGATGATAACTATTCTCCTGATTACTTCTGCTGTACTTTGAAGAGCTTAGGACAGTATCGTGTATCTGTCAGGTGCTCTGTTTGGACAGATTCATTTGAAAACAAAATTAAATTGCAGTTGAATAATGGGTTGACTGGTGCAGGCACCTCACCAGGGAAATTGGACTTAGTGCCCAGAATGGAATGAGGCTGATGGCGTGCTTCTGTTTCCTCTCCCCCTTCCTCATCTGTTCTCGCCCCCCTCCCCCGCCCGCCCCCACTCAGTTCCCACCCTACTGTGTTGCAGACAGGCTCCCTGTCAGACTTTTAAGAGCCTGTCACATGGCACTGCATTAGCTAATCTGTCCACTTAAACCTAAAGTTTATATGCTGTAAAGTTCCCTCTTTGGCTTTTAAAAGGCGGCTATAAATGAGCTGTGCTTAATTCTCCCTTTCTACCACTAATTCTTTTACATCTTTACTAGAGGACAGAGCCCCAAATCACACACTCTGCTCAAAGAACTTTATCAGGCCTGTTAGTCAGCATTTACTTTAAGACACTAAAAAGTATAAAAACGCCCTCAGTGCCCATTATCACTTTCTCCATCAGTGGACTTTGTGGCTCTAATTGAAAAGAAAAAGGCTGGCCCACGCAAATGGAAGTAAATGTGTCTCTGGTGCAAAGAAGTGAGGAACGGCGGACGACAGGGACGCTGACAGCTTAGTTGGAGCTGTAATTTGGTTTGGGCCTCAGAAAACATAGTAAATTAAAGAGTGACTTACTCGTTCTTGTCCAGCTGTATCCCAGATTAGGAATTTATGTAGCTCATTTTGGTACTGGACAGTCTTGGTCATAAAGGATGCCCTATAAAGAGAGACCTGAACGATCAGAACACAGTTATTTAACACCGCTGTCCAGCCCCAGTCGGAATCATCACTGAGATTTGCACTCAGGCTCCCAGCTCCCCACTACATCCTCACCACGACCCTCTGGAGAATTCGGGGATGGTCAGACACTGGCTGCAGCCTCTGTTAAAATCAAGCATTAGGCACATCTGCCTGACAGAGGAGGAAGCCTGAGTTCCCTCATCAAAGAATCAAGAAATAGTAAGCCTCCCTTGTAAAACTCAAGGTGCTGTCACTCAAACAGGTGGGTGTTACAAACAAGCTTTCTTTAAAATAAGGCTTATTTTATTATTCTGAGGCTGTTTGGTGCGTGTGCACATGCACCCATGTACTTATAAGGCAAGCACTTTTCCCTGCTGAACTATTTCACCGGCCCCATGAGAAAGCTGTCTAAAGATGAACATGCTCAGGGACCTGTGCACTAGTCAAAACACCTCAGACCATTTTGGATTTCTCTTCCAGTTCTTGAACCACAGGCCACATAAACAGGTAAGAACCAGGGCAACAATGGAGCTCAAAGAATTATGATGCCAAACAAAGGAGGGCAAGGAGGGCTTCTGGGACAGTTGAACTAAGGCGACAGTGACCTCTGGACTGGATGATCACTGCTTCAGGAACACAACATGCTTCTCAGCTGCGGCTCAACGTCAGCCATGGGATACTTCTCAGCCCATGGTCACAACCAGTTTCTGTTATTTGGAGGCCCTAGGCATTTTGCAGGACTGTGAAACTACCAAGTGCCTGTGCATTTCTGAGGAGCCCCAAGGCCATAGTACAAGCCTGCCACTCTCAAGTCCCTTTGTAGCCCAGGCTAGCCTTGAATTCACAATCCTGCCTTAGCTTCTGAGTGTTGAGATTTAGGTATGAGTCAGCATACCAGGCCTGAGATGTACTCTTAAACTACACCCCAATCACTGCAATCTAGACAATGAACTCAATGGTTAGACATTCTCAGACTTGCAAGAGCCTTAATTAGAGGTAATCTTCAAGAGAGTGCATTAGGAGGACTTCTGGAAGAATACTGAGCTCCTCAAGTATCAGAATTCTTAGAAACACTTATGTAAATTCATGGCCCAGCAGGCAGCCTCCCAAATGGCTGTTAAGGATGGAAAGTTAGGGAGAAGCGAGACCCTGCTGCTGTAGGTGCTGTCTGTCCCATGGAACCCCAGGGAAAGCGAACTTTAGGGTAAAGGTTTAAGTTCAAGTATTAGGAACTTTCAGTGAGTCACTCTGACTAAATCAGGGTAGGCCACAGGATTCCTCACTTCAGAAAGATCTGGCAGTCAGAGGCCACAGCATTGGAGAAGGTGAAGAGAGAAGACATGTCTCCATGGACGTTACTGTTCAAAGGCAGCCCAGGAAAGGTTCAGTGGAAACTCTCCAACAAGTCCACAAAGATTACCACTCAGCTCTGATAACTGTACTGTGGTGCTACAAGAACAGGAGAGCAAGTGGCACACACGTGTGACTGTAGGATGGACAGAACGCTGAGGAAGGAAGAGGCAAGGATCAAGAGTTGTTTCCTTAAGCTCAGAACTCACACCAAGTCCAACCTGCCTTCAGCCAGTTCCTTTAATGAGTCAGAGGACACAAACACAGCCCCCCTGAGGTCTGCAATGTCTGAGAAAGAGCCCAGCACCCCACACAGCTCTCACTGCACATCCCCCCAAGCCACCCACACAGCTCTTCCTCTATAGCAGGGCACTGTCTGCAGCTTCTCTTGGCTGTCCTGGAGCTTAGTCAACAATTACTGGGGTTGCCCACAGGCTACTTGGCAGTCCATCGCACGCACGCACGCACGCACGCACGCACGCCTGCCACAGCATAAAGAACAAAGTGTCACTCAAATGTAGAGGTCATTGAAGGCTCTGCTCTAGCTTGGCCAGAGCATAGCAGAAGGAAGTGGTGCAGTAGGGCAGGACTGCCTTGTTAGGGTCCTGCCTGCCTTCTGTTCAGTCACCAGCCTCAAGCCCTGTACTAGCCACAGGGGTCAAGCAAAAGCTGAGATTGCTGCAGACCCCCCTCACTCTGCTCCCCTACCCCAGGGGCCTTTGCAGTGGGTGGGGTGTCTCTGCCGCTCACTCATGGGTTGGCTTCTTCCAACCTCCCAGTCCCAGTCTGTCACTCTTTCACCTTTCCTCTTTTGAGCCCTGTTATGTCTTGTCTTTAGAGCACCAAGCATCCCTGATCATTGTAAGAGAGTGAGATCCTGCCTTTCCTCCAGTCACTTTACCCTGACATACAGATGTGGTTTCTCTCTGTAGTAGTAGCACTCCAGACTAGAGGCAGACTTGGGAGGGACACTGCCTGCTGCCTCTCTCAGTGGTCCCTGCTGGGTTCTGGGCTGACACCAGGGCAGAGGTTGCCTACCAGACTCAATCATGATTTTTTGCCAAAGCTACAGCGTTATCTACTGAGGACAGCACTTTTCAAAATTGAACTAACTAGACAACTTTATCACATAACACAGTGTCTAACCCTACATTGGTCCTAACTTCTAAGTCGTCAGTCACAGACACCAAGCCTGCCTTTAACATCATGTGATTACATCTGTCTTTCATTAACTTGCATCCAATTTTGCAGTAGAGTTGTCTGGCTCTTCATTTTACATTCAATCTATACCCAAACCTTGGCCCCTGAAATAAATCTATAAATTGGACCCTAATCTTTGGGTGGCTTTACTCCAATTTCCTGCCATCATCGCTTCAACTCTAGGATCACTCCTCTAACGTTCAAGTTAAATGATGCAGAGGGTACGATAACTTCAGTGTCTTGCATTTTGAAAAACAGGCATTGGCTCCCTGTCATTCAAAGGATACATTTCTATTTCCCAGCCTGCCATTTACTTGTCTGAGAACCTTATTTTTCACTACTAAACTGTCTCTCTTCAGTCTGCCTAGGCAGATCTTATTACCTCTTTCATCTAAAATCCCTACTAGCATTATTTCCTAAAGCTAGAACGCCTTTCATATGCTTCTCCATTTTTCATGACATTCTAAAAATATGACTTTCACACACATCAAGTAGTCACGATCTTTGGTCAGAGTACGTGTTCCCAATGAAAATACTTGCTACAAGGTGTTTTAAAAATTTCTTTTCTTTAACTTCAGCAACTTGTTTAGGTCTCCCGGAATATTGATGTGCAATGGCATCACTGCAGACTCCCTACTTTGAGCCCTTTCTGGGCTCAAGAGGTGCGGTTACTCTCACTGTGTATTCTAAAGATAAACAACTCAGCACATCTTCAAAAGGCCACAATTTAAACACCCTGGATCTCAAGTTATACGCGTTGACGACACACTGCCAGACACACACCAAAATGGACATGAAGAGATGAACACAGATGACCCTTATAGTTCCTCCAACAGAGACATCAAAGGTCTTCGGAAGGTATAGGACAATGCAAAAACCATTTGGGGCTCAGTGAGAATTTGCTGAACAGAGGGGACATCTATCTAGGGTACAGTCTTTAAGCCTCTCTGTTGTCTGTGCACGGTGGTACATGTTTATAATCTCAGCATTTGGGAGACTAAGGTGGGAAGATCTTCAGTTCTAACAGAAGTCTTAGGAGTACCCACCAATTCTGTGGTGTCCGTATACCCTACAGTGGATAAGATCGCTCACCATGTCCCTACACTCATCTGATGATGATGGCACACTGTAGCTGCCCCCCACTCACACCAGCAGGTGCACAAAAGGGTCATTTTCGGCCCATACAAATTCTTTATTTTCTCTACCTTGGTCATATATTCAAAATGATTTTTGGAAAACATTGAAAATCTAGGAAAATGTTTATTTAAACAGAAAAATATCTAAAGAGTTTCATCTCTCCTTTCCTATATTTTTAAGAACATAATCCTTTCACATCATAAACAATAAAATCAACAACAACAACAATAACAACAACAACAACAACAGAATAACAAAAAACCTGGCTGCTTCAGCTAAGTGTTGGCTGCTCTCATGTCGGCTTCCTGTTTGCTCATGTGCGTACCTATTTAGCTGGACTGTAAGCATCTGGTCTGTGAGCGTCTGGACTGTGAGGGTCTGGACGATGAGCCTTCATCATCACTGCTCAGGGGACAGAGCCATGAATAGGACTGCTGAGATCCAAGGCCAGCCAACAGAATCCCAGCTGTCTTGTCTTATTCAACATTTGAGCTTCCAAAGTCTTGTACCAACACAGGCAAGAGGAGTTAAGACCCTATCACTGTCTCTGAGAAACTCAACTGGGAGAGGCAGTCATGGGGACAGAGATGTATAAAGGCAGCTTTTCTGGAGATACAAGAGCTACCGTGAGAAGCCAGGACCAGAGATGGTGATTTGAAGATGAAAGGAGAGAGTACAATGATGGGCCTTGAAGATGGTAGAAGAGGCCACAAGTCAAGGCAGTCACTAGGAGCTGCACTAGGCAAGGCAACAGGTTCTCCCCTTACAACTCCTAGGAGGAAGCAGCTTGGCCAACACCCTGAGTTTAGAGTTAGGGAAAGCTGATTTTGGACCACTGATTTCCAGGACTAGAGGTGAAAACATCTGTGTTCTTCAAAGTGCTGTAGTGATTGGTCATGGCAGCTGGAGGAGACAAACACATGACAGACTTTCTGAGGAGCAAGGGTTGTTGTTCCTGGAAGTTAGGAGGGGACGGTGCAGATACCATAAAGAGCAAGATGGCACCAAAGCAGAACACAGCAGCCAGCCCTGCGTCAGCTGGGTTAGACAAGGTAGGGTAGGTACAGTGTTAGGAGGCCACAGAGAAGGCTTTGGGCAGTGAGGAGACCACTGGGGATGAGAGCATTCTGTAAGCCAGTGCCTCTCCACAGAGGGATCTTTCTGCCCTGGCTGCAGAGTACTACTGCTGAATGAACACACTAACAAACCACTCCCTCTTTTGAAACCGAGCCATGTCTAAGCATGATGCTGGTAAAATCAACTACTTGGAGGTTTTGTGGACAGATTTTA